AAAAAATAAAATAAAAAGGCTGACAATATAATCAATAACTTCTACACAAATATCTCAATTATATTAATGTAGGAATGGGTTACACTGAAAACATTGTTTTGTTGTTATTTGTTTGTCTGGTTTTTGTGGAACCGGGGATTGAACTCAGGCCCTTGCACTTGCCAGGGAAGCACTTACTCTACTGAGCCATCTCCCCAGCCCCTGAAAACATAGTTTAAAAATTAAAATAATGGTAAGAAGCATGAAGTGTTACAAAATGCTGACATGGACTTGTCCCTGGAACTGGCATACATCTCCAAAGCAAACGCTTCTAGGGAACATTCTCTGATAATAGCTGCTTGAATAAGGTTTATTTTTATAGGCCGTTGCTAACACAATGGCATACTTATAACAGCTCTGTCAAACAAAGGATCCAATTAAAGAAAAGCTGTACTAAATAAATTCTTTTGGTAGATACCAAATCAGGATATTGTTCAGAAAGATTTTCTTATACAGTAATATTACAGTATTAGTCAGATATGTAATAAAATCTTAACATTTAACAAACCTGAAAATAAGCTGTCATAGAATAAAATGTTAAAATGTTATTAATATACAGAATAACAGTATTCATGTAATCTGTTTGCTTTTAAGACATTAAAAAAAATTTCCTGGATTATGAGGTCATGAATACCTAAAAATACCTAAAACTCAGTATGCTCTGTATTTTCTTCACTTAACTATAATTGTTTAGTTTTTGATTTCTAGCCTGAGCCATCAGATAAATAAGAAGCTGCCTATTGATGGCATGTGGAAGAATGAACATAGTTTAAACATGAGAAATTCACCTTGTACGTGAAGTTTGAAGTTTCTATGTTGTACCTGAGTTGAGGCATCAGAGAGGCAGCTGGGTATGTGAATACAGTGTTGAAATAAATGGATGAGAAAACAACAGCCCAGAGAGCCAGGGTTAAGAAATTTGTGGCCAGATTACTTGCATTTGGATTCTAGCTCTACTCCTAGTAGCTGCTGACCTTAACAAGTGATCTCTGTGCTTCAGTCTCCTTGCATCTAAAATAGGGATGATACATAGGCTAATGTGAAGATTAATATATATGAAGTTTTTGGTGGTTTTTTTTTTAATTTTTATTCTTTGTTGAAACAAAGTCTCATGATGTAGTTCAGGATGAGCTTCAACTCACTATGTAACCCAGGCTGGCCTCAAACTCAAGCCGATCCTCCTGTATCAGCCTCCTGAGTGCTGCGATTCCACGTGCCACCAAGCCTGGTGAAGTGAGTCTATTCAGTCCTGTCAGCTCGCGGTGTACTACAGCAACGATGTTTCTCCAGCCTAGGACCAGTTCAGTGCCCAAAGAGGTAAACGTTTTGTGGAAGTATGTCCTTTACCTACTTCTTCCTGGTGTTTTAACATACCTTTTACATTCCTTATTTTTCCCTCTAAGTCTATTTCAACAAATAAAAGTAACTAGCAGACACAGCCATGCATGAAGAAGTAATTCTTTTTTCTTTTTTTTTTTTTTTTTTTTTTTTGTGGAACCAGGGATTGAATTTAGACCTTGCACTTGCCAGGGAAGCACTTATTCAACTTATTCTACTGAGCCATCTCCCCGGCCCGGAAGCAATTCTTAATGTACATTCAGGGTAGTCCTTTTCTTGAAGCTCTAAGGAAAAAGGAAGGACTTTCTGTACAGAAAGCCTGAATAAAGAAACAGTGCTGTCAAAACACATACCTGGTCAGTATACAGAGTCTCTAGCAATGCTAAAAGAACAGAATGTACAGTACTCGTTCCTAAGTGAGCTTCTTCCTACAGCAGATTTCAGGAATAAATTAACTGCCTAACTTTATCTCTTTATTACTTTGGAAAGCAAAGAAATTTAATACAGCACAACTTTTTCTAAAAGGAACATTTCATGCTGGAGAGGAGGCAGCATCTAAAACAACTTTAGAAAATAGGAAGCATGCCCATTCTGACTGTGTGTGAATACCTACACACATCTTGGAGAAGACTTGGAGTAATGGCTGGAAGCTCTTTTTCCAACCAAAAAAACTAAATACTGCCTCAAGTTTTATTTCCAGAAACACAAGACTGTATAATTTCATTGCTAACACTAACAGGATAACCAGAAGGTTAGAGTCTAATTTCAGGAGTTGAGTTTTCCCTTCATTTTAGCTTCTTTACAAGGACAATAAGGAAAAAGAGAACCTTACTTGTGTTTAATTGAGACCAATCCATTGCCAAAAATAGTTGTAACAAATACACTATTGAAGGGCAGAAATCCCATATAGGTACAATCTAAATAGACAACGGAATATTTTGTGATTCTATATATGCCTTGGGTTTCTTTCAAGATGAATACATGCTATTTTTTCTCATTAAGAAAATAAGAGACCACTACAAAAACATTCAGACAAGCTGCAGGCAATTGAGGTGGAAGGGGCACTCGACGCTGGCAACCCAGTTCAGAGAGGAGCTGTGTCCGTGGCTCCTCTGGGCACTGTCTACAGCATGTATTTCCTCAACTTTAGGGTCCATATTGTGATAGTTCAGTATTTCTAAAATCTGTCTGCATTGTAAAATTGTCACATATAGTTACAATAATGTCCTTTTATTAATATGTTTCAATGAATGAGCAGCTCTTTAGATAGTACCATGGGATACAATTTTAAAAGAAATTCTACAATAGTGTTCATGCTATGCTATCACTTCTACATTTATTTTGTTACAGGATAGATACATATATGCTGCTATATGCACATTTTACTTCTAAAAGGAATCAGAGAACATGTAAAAGTTGCCTGGAAAAGAGAGAGGTGAAGGCAGGAAGAGATCTATATTCCATTGTATACCCTTTCATCTCCTGAATATTTACCTCTTACTTATTTAAAATTATTATCTCTAAAAGGTAAAGAATACTACTACATATGAAGTCAACATTTAAAAAACACATAAAACAAGGACACATATGAAATTTCTTAGGTTTGATTCTGGAGAAAGTGAAAGGAAAAAGAAAAAGTCTGTATAAGGAAAACCTCACAGTGATGAAGTTTTAATTTCCTAAAATATTACTATAAACAAATACAACAAAATATTAACACTTGCTAATGATGGGTATTGTAGACAGAAGTGTTATACTGGCAAGTGAACCCTTTTTAATTTAAACCTTCAAAGTATAAGTATTAAAATACATCTCATAAATACCACTACATATCTATTATAGTTGTTAAATTAAAAAGCTAACAGTTTGATGCAAGAGAGGAAGTGGATCAACTGTAGCACTAATACACAACTGAAATGATTGTAAAATGGTTCAATCATTTTGGAAAATGGTCTGGCAATTTCTTACCAAACTAGGCAAGTCTACAAACCCCTTGTAGGTATTAACGCAAGAGAGATGAATGTACACCTGCCTATGGAAAGGCTTATGCAACAACATTCATACTTTGTTTACAACAGTCAAAAAGGAGTAGTAGTTTGGGTGTCCATCAAGAAGAAACTGGGTAAGAAAACTAGTACATCCATAAATGAAATACTTTTTGAAGGACAAAAGAAATGGACTACTGATACATGCAACCATAGGAAGGCTTCCTCAAACATTATGCTGACAAAAACCTTCGCACAAAAGAATGCATAATCTATGATTCTATTTATATGAAGTACTACAAAAGCATAACAAATCTATTGTAGAAAAAGATCAGATTTTGGCAGGGATTTATGTTACACAGTTGTACGCATTCGTCAGAACTCAATGGATATTTATTTTTAAGATATACATGTTTTATTCCACATGAATTCTTCCTCAAAAGGAAGAGTGAAGTGTGCTCATGTCTGCAACACACCTTAAAATGTTTGGATTTTAAACATTTTTGTTTGTTTTGGCTGGCTCAGCCCACCCTGAGGGTGGAGCTGACACGGCATAAGGTAACCACAGTCCCCTGCACCTGCCTAAGCTGGCCTAAGCAGGCGCTTTAGGCCACTGAGCTCTCTCGCCAGCTGGTATCATAGATTTTAATGTATACCACTTCTTTTTCCTGATCATGTATTAAGTATACCCTTCCTCATCAGTAAATACAGATTTTTCTACTGCATGCTTTCTAATATTTAATTAATGAATATTTTGGTCCATGGATCAAAAAGTGTACACAGTAAGACCAAGGACTAGAGGACATTCACCCTCTTTTAACTGAACACATGGATGTCAGTGACCACTAGGACATGAGGACCATACCACAGGGCATGGGGCTCGTCCCAGTATGATGTTCCGTGTGTTCTGTATGTGTGCGTTGTTTCAGCAAACCAGAAAGTGGTGCAGCCTGTCAGTGTCTGGTTACAGGAGCTCAAATGATAAAGTTCATAAAATTCTTGTTTTCCTAATGGTTTCAATGACCAAATGTTTTGCATTATATAAGTATATTCCCATTTTATGCTTGTAATACAAAATGACACATACGAAATTAATGATGAGAAAAGAACTTTGGAATTAGTAACTTATTAACTACATTTATCACTTACCTCATTTGAAGGAATTGTGGCAAAGGGCTTAATGACAGCAGCTAGAGGAATCTGAGCCTGCTTAGCCATATCTGACGTGCACGGGAAACAGTACGTGGTGCAGCGAATGTATCGAGGGCTAGCGTTGCCTTAAACATTGAAAGGACATGCTTAGAAGACGGTGAAAAAAATATATTCTAAGATACTTGAACATTTATAAAAACGCTTCTATAATGTATTGTCTTACTTGAAAAATTTTCTTACTCCTTAAAATGAAAAATAATATGCAATTCTGCAATCTATATCCTAGGAACACTAAGTTATTGCTAACCAAAATACCCTGAACACAAACACAGTGTGTGTTAATTAGTTATTTTCCACAAATGGGGTCTTAACATAGACTTGAGAGCTGTTCAGATTTGGGGGGAGATATAAAAGAGAGGCATAAAGCAGGAAAGATGGGTTTCAGGCATTCCTCCCTCCTCTTTCTGTAGTGAGCATCTACACACCATCTCCCACCATCAGGGTATACTTTATTAAGTATGATGCCATTTTGACTACTTTTTCTAAACTTGGTAAGTGAATTAGAAATAAAATTCCATTGGTAATTGGAATATTATTTTTAAACATGTGCTAATCTATTTTTAATACACATTAGATTTCTTGACCAAATGTCTCTATTTCACAGCATGCGTGAGCACTAAAAACAATATCCATGACACAAGGAATATTTTTTAAGTATTACAATAACATCCAAAATTCTGAAATGGAATTATAACATATTATGACCCAAAGAATACAATCATCAAAGAATATTCACTGTGTGTGTGCTGTGTTTTAGGCACTGTCCCAGATGCTTCCATACACAGTTTATGTCCTTGCAGAAAACAACAAAGCTAATAAACGCATAGATTCTATAGGGCAACAGAATATGGCACAATAAATGAAGCCCATCTGGTAAGAAGTACCAAACACTGGGAAAGCAATGGCAATTTTAAATACATAGTGGCCCTTTTTAAAATTAATGAATTTTCTTTATTTTAAAGAGAATAAAAACGATGCAGAATTTCAAAACAAGATGAGAAGAAATTAACAATGGTTGTTATATTGCATATGTTATCTTAAAAGTACTTGCTCAGATTACTAGGTATAAGCATGAAAATAGATCGAACAATATTAGCATTAACTGTTGCTTTTAATGAACTAATAGAAATTAGCAACACAATTATCTTAGCAATCGTGTGTGTGTGTGTGTGTGTGTGTGTTGTTTTCCCCTTGTTTCTCCTTTCCCTCATCCCAGTTGTTCTTTCCTTTGAGCTCTTTCTTTCCCTTTCTATTGTACCTTCTGGATCTTATTTATTCTTTCAGTTCTTACACTATGGAGGCAGTACGATGTTTGCATATGTGAATCTGATGTATTTCTCTTAGTTTAGAAGGGCCATTTATCAAAGAATCTAAGGAGACAAGGGATCTATGTAGGCAGACTTCCGGGGGAAGTACACACCTGGCCCAGCAGAGGGAGAGCAGTCACTGCCAGCCACAGTAGCTGTGATTTGCTACAGAAGAAGCAGGGCCAGCTCAGATAGACTCCTGAGACCCCCTCCCCCGCCTCTGCCTTATATTTGGGTGAAATGGAGAGCTACTGCCAGGCCTGAGCAGCCCGAGTGCCATGTTCTGACACGGGTCCCTGCTGACAGTGGTCTACAGAAAGGACACAACGTGATGGGCAGAATCAAGGAGACCCAGGAGGAGGCTGCTGCAGCAGGGGCAGGTGGTGGTAAGGACCTGCTGCCTAACAGTAGAGGCGCACAGAAGTGGGCAGGTGTGGGATGTATTTTGAGAGTACAGTAACATATTTATTAATGGTAATGATGTATGTGGTATGGAGCTATCTGAGAAAGGAAACGATTGGGGATGAATCCAAGGTTTCTGGCCAGAGGAAGTGGCCATCCACAGAAAGAACAGGTTCTTAAGGGATGTGTGGGTAGAAAGCAGGAATCTGGTCTAACACACGTCCAGCTCACAATCTATTAGGTAGCAAAATAGCGATGCTGAGCAGACAGTAAGATATATGAATGTTGAATGCACTGAAATCTGGGTTGGAGGTGCAGCCCACACTTGGGGTCTCGGTATATGGACTATGTCCGAAGCCAGACACCTAGGCCAAAATTGCCAAAGGGATAATTGTGGCCAAGGAAGAGAGCATGAGCAAGGACTTGGCAGGGCTCCTCTAAGACAAACAGGTCAGAGGTCAGTGAATTATGGAGGGAGGAGGATGAAAGCAAGAAGAGACTGATGTCCTGGAGGGAAACTGAGAAAGTGTATCAAGAAGAAGGCAACTGTGCCAGACGCTTGTGCTGGACCAGCACAACCACATATTAAGTGGACAGGAAGAAAAGTTGGCCTTGACAGGAGCTCAGATGTCCCACCTATGGCCAAGAGGAGAAAGTGCACCAGAAGCACACAGTAGGGAAGGTCACTGTGGGGTGAGATCCATGCACTTTCTCAGTCAGGAGGAGCAAAAAGCAAAGAGAGGAGGGAGGTGCTACAGGCCTGGGTGGCATGTGCAGAGTAGTCACTACAGAGAGTAAAAACGTGAAAGGACTTGGGAAGTGCAACACGCAGCCAAGGCTGCGGATCTGAGCTCAAACCAGGCCTGCAGACAGCTGAGAGCTCCCCTGGCGGCAGCTGGCTAGAAAGACCACCCCAGAATGCATGCAAAGTTCTGCTCTGCTGTGCTCTGCTCCAACACACTGCTGCCAAATCTTATATTTTAGGACAATCTAGAAATCTGGATTTTTACATAAAATATTCTTAGTTTTACATAATTGAAGTAACTGAATAGAAACAAAATATTGTGGAAGAAAAATTAACATGACTGTAGGCCAGATCCTGCTCCTCCTGCAGGAGTCTGAGAGAAAGGGGAATAGAGGTACCAACCACAGTACGATGAGGATGGTGAATAGTAACAGCAATAATGGCCACTGCCTGTGTGTTGGGCCTCCTTCTGCTTATTACACACAAACTTACTTTAGCTCTACAATCACTCATGGGATTGATACCTTTATGATTCTGTTTTTCTGAGGACAGAACAGACACCAGGAGATTAAGTGATTTGTCTAAGGTAAATACATAGTAAAAATTAGAATAGCATCTACCATAACTCTGCAACATTCCAGAAAAACTGGTTCCAGGTAATAAAGGCCTCACGTGCTGGACAAGTGAAGACTGATCCTGTCTGTCATGGCCAACAGTGACACTTTTTTTAAGCAAATGATGATCAAAGTGTACAGGACAACTTCAAGGAGAGGGACACAACCAAAGATGAGCAGAGTGGTCTGTCACTGGGAGAGTCCAGTGAGCACTGAGGAGGTAAAAACAGGGTTAGGGCAGCAGCAGTAAAAGGAAAGGCTCTGGTGACTCTCTTCATAACAGCCTGCCCTGTGTCCTCCAGGGCATACTTTTTTTTTAAAATTAGTTTTACTGAGAAACAAATAGCAATGAGACAGTTTCAATAATTAATACATTGCATATTGTTATCTTCTTAGTGGTTATTCATAGTACAAGATGCAGATCTGATATCCTGTCCAAACACTACTAGTGAACTCACTACGAGTTCAATCTGTGTAGTGAGTCCCTTTAGACCCTGTAGTAAGTACACACACAAAAATAAATAAATAAATAAAATAATTTTTCAATACTGGGCTGGGGAGATAGTTCAGTGACTTCTGTGCCAGCCTGGCAAATGCAAGGTCCTAAATTCGATCCCCAATAGCAAAAATAAAAAAATAAAAAAGAATTTTTAAATACTTTATAGCCTGTTTTTAATTTTTATCATATTCCATTTTTACCAGTCAAAATTATAGTACTATTGAGATGCTAGTTTCGTGTTTGTTGCTTTTCAGGACTTTGACCGTGAAATATGTATTTTAATGTGCTCATGAAGGTAGCCAAACAAATTTTGTTTCAGAAAGACAATGTACACAAAGTGAGTTTGAAACCAATCTGAACTACAAAGTGAAACTCTGTCTCAAGAAAAGCAATTGATAAATGAATGAGTGAATGAATGAATGAATGAATGAATGACCGAGTAAGCAAGCAAGCAACTGTGCAGCCCAAATGCTATGGCCACAGTGGGTAATTTAACAACTTCAGGAATTAAGATTCAAACTTTGAAATGCTTAATAAAGAGTACTATGGAAAAATTCTGGCCCAAAACATTCAATAAATTATTTTTTCACCAAGTATTTATAAAGCAAAGCCTCATGCCAGGGAATAAGAAACAGAAGAGAATAATGTCTCTGGCGTACACATTCGCTGGAGAGAATGGTAACAGCAGCAGAGAACTGCAACATAGTATATAGGTAGTACCACAGAAGAGCAAGCAAACTACACAGTGGCACAAGGACAATAAAGGCTCTGCCACTTTGGGTTAGCAGGGACCACACAAGGGATGAGGCGCTTCATCAGGCTCATTAAGGGCAGGAAAAGCACAGGGCCGAGGGACAACTTGAATCTTAGAATCAGAACCTCTAGAGAGAGGCAAAACAGTAGCATCTTTTCCAGATATATTTGATATTGTCTTTTACTTATTTATTTTTCCAACATGTTATTAGTTCATACTATACTGATTAAAAGTTTCATTTTGGCAGATTTATACCTGCACATACCATACTTTAACTGCCCTCCTCTCCCCCTCTGGCCCACCAAAGGAAAGCCACTAGTGTCACATTGGGGAGGGGGCCCTTCAATGTGTAAAACTGTATTTTAATCCTATGCCTGGGTATCTGCTTTTATACTCATTCTGCCTTCTTCCTTTCCTAATATTAATTTCTTCTGCTTGTCATTTTTTTTTTTTTTTTTTTTTTTTTTTTTGAGGAACCAGGGATTGAACTCAGACCCTTGCATTTGAGTGGAAGCGCTTATTCTCAGGGAAGTGCTTATTCTCCTGAGCCACCTCCCTGGCCCTATTTTTTATACATAGTACAGAGAACGTGTAATACTTGTCTTCCTGAGTCTGAATTATTTCACTTACCATGACCAGATCCTTTCTTTTTTTGTGCAAATGGCAAATTTTGTTCATTTTATGGTCAAACAATACTGCATGTATGTATCATCACACTTGGGGGGGTACAGGTAGCAGGAATTGAACTCAGGACCTCAGGACCAAGGCAAGTGCTATGCTACTGAGCTAAATCCCTGGCCCCACACATTTTCCTTATCCACTCATCCAGACAGGCACCTGGGCTGGTTTTGGCTTATATATCATGCCACAATAAACATGAGTATGTGGCTATCCCTATGGAATGTTGACTTTAATTCTTTCATGCATACAACAAGGAGTGGTATGCTAGATCAAGAGACGGTCCTGTTGTTAGTGTTTTGATGAAGGTCCTCATTTCCATGTGGCTGTACTAATTTACATTACCAGCAGTATAGAGATGTTATCTTCTGCCCCCAACATAGCATTTATTGCTTTTTGTATTCTTGAAAATAACCATTATGACTGGGGTAAACTGGAATCTCAACACAGCTCTGGTTTAAATTTCTCAGACCCAGGAAGTTAAGGGACTTGCCCAAAGCCACCCTGCTAGTTAGTGGTGGATCCAGTGAGGAAAAACGGATTCTGTTTGCTACTAACTTACTGTGTGGCCGCGGGCAAGTCCCTAACCTTCCTGGGCCTTGGTGGCCTGCTATCTGCATGCTGGGGAGCCACGCAAATGAAGACCAAGGCTCCTTCTGGCTGCACACTCTATTTACGTCTCTCTGTGAATTGTGCACATGCCTGGCATCTTTGGGCTACCTCCTGAAAAACTGCACTAGTATTAGCTAAGAAGCCCAGCTATAAGAAGGGATGCATGCTGACGGTGTGACGAGGCCAGTTTCAGAGCTCTGCACCGGGAGAGCTCTCTTCCTTTGCTGAGCAGAAATAAGGATGATCCGGACCATGCCCAGGCTGGATCTTTCCTCTCGTGCTCCTCCCTTCAGGGCTTCTTCCATACATGTCCTGCGTGAGCCGGCAACTCCACTTCTAGTTATAAACCCAGAAACACTGGCAACAGGAACTCTCTGGATGCTTGAGCACAAAGGCTCACAGCAGCACTCTTCACAACAGCCAAAGGTAGAAAGACCCACACATCCTTCATCAAATGAATGGATAAATGAACGGTACCACCTAAGTCTTATACATGGATCTTATTTAGTCTTAAGAATTCCAGTAGGCGCTACTACCTGAACGAACCATATGAAAACATGCAGGCTGAAATAAGACAGACACAAATATTTTATGATTCCACTGGAGACAGCTAGCAGAGGCAAATTCATCAAGATAAGAAGTGAAATACAGGCTCTCGGGCTGGTGGCTGTGGAGGAATGGGAAGTTACTGCTCAGTAGGTACAGAGTTTTGGGGGAAATAAAAATGCTTTGGAATTGGGCTAGTCAGATAGCTCAGCGGACTAAGTGCCTGCTTGGCAAGCTTAGGGACTGCAGTTCAATCCCTGGAACCACATGCTGTGCCAGCCCTGCCCCCAGGCACACTGAGCTGGCCACTGAGATGTGGCATAGTGGCGCACACCTATAATCCCAGCACTGGGAAGGCTAAAATCAGGAGAATCACTACAAGTCTGGGCTGTGTAGTGTGACACTGTACCAAATACATTTTTTAAAAAAGTTTTGGAAATGAATAATCAGTTGGTTGCATAATATTTTGAGTTTAATAAATTAGGACTGCAGAGTTGTATAAAAAATGGTTACAAAAAGATAAATTTTATTATACACACAAACATATATATCTCCAATTTTTTTAAAAGTGTTCCTTGCCATGCCAGCCCCACCCTGGGGTGCACTGAGACAGCAATTGAGACTGGGCATGGTGGCATGTGCCTGTAATCCCAGTTCTTGGGAGGCTGTAAACAGGAGAATCACTATGAGTCCGATCTAGTAGTGAGACCCTGAACACCCTGTAGACCCTTCCCTAAAATACAGAAAAAATAAAAATCAAAAAGTGTTCCCGCTAAAAACAAACCCAAGAAAGAAGCATGCACATACTGTTCCATGGCACACCTGCTCTCCCAGCTGGCCTTGGCACACCCCTAAGTCTCTGCCTAGTAACCACCCCCATCTCCTGGCTTTTCTTCTGCTTCACTTAGGTGCCCCCTATTCTAGCAGGACAGGCTGGGTTAGTTATTGGGAAGGCAGCCTCCATTTCAGCAACAAGGAAGCAAGCTCTTTTTTTTTTGCAGTACCAGAGATTGAACTCAGGACCCTGTGCTTGCCAGGCAAGCACTTATTCTACTGAGCTATCTCCCTGGCCCCCTTGTGTACCTTCCTTGTGTGCAGCTGGTACATATGCCTACCATAGCTTCATCCTTTGCTCATCCCCTTCCCCTCTCCTCCCTCCCTTCTCATGTCATCTCGTGATCCCTTATAAGAGAAACCAGTGAGATTTAAGTTTGCGTGTCTCATTTCTGTCATTTAACATTATGGTCTGAAGGTACACCTATTTTCCTATAAATGACAAGTTTATTCTTCTTCAGGGCAGAGTAGCACTCCATCATGTGCACGTGCCATTCTCATTATCCATTCATTAGTTTATGGATATACAAGCCATTACCAAGGTTTAGCTATTATGGACTGTGCTGCTATAAACATGGGTATGCATGAATCACTCTGACATGATGTCTTTAATTCTTTTGGGACTATGCCTAGAGAGGATCAACTGGAATTTTTAGTTTTGGTCTGTTTTTTGTTTTCTTTTCAATCACTGATTGATTGATTGATTGATTGATTGATTAACTGATTTGGTACAAGGTCTCGCTACACAACTTGAACTCATAGTGATCCTCCTGTCTTACCCTCCCCAGCACTGGGATTATAGGTGTGCACCACCATGCCCAGTTCTGGTGGCCAATTCAGCTCCTGGGCTGGCAGGGCATGTGGTGCCAGAGATCAAACACAGGTCCTTGCGTTTGCCAGGCAGACCACTCAGACCACCGCGCTATCTCCCCAGCCCTCGTTTTGGTTTTTAAGGACTCTCCATACCAGTTTTCATAGTGGCTATACTGGTTTTCATTCCCACCAACAAGTAGGCAGTGTAAATTACCTAAGCATTCTCTGCCTCAGTTTTCTCAGACTATAACACAAGGATAATATACACAACTATAGCATAAAGTTACAGGGGAATTAAGTGAAATGAATGCTTAGAAGTGCTTAGAAGATGGTTTGATACAAAGTAAGCACTTCTGAGCCACAATAATAAGGGTAACTTATATACTTTATTACATTATTAATCACAGATTTAAAATAGCAGCCTACTACATAACAGATACCGAATAAATATTTCTACAGATGACAGTAAAAAAAAAATCAGCAACTTCATATGGGTTGACCTACTGTACACAGGTTGAAAGAGCTTACAACTACATTCTTGAAAATAAGTACCTTGAGCCAGCCAAATAGCTCATCAAATTAAAGTGTCTGCAAGCAGATGCAGAGGCCGAGGGTTCAATCCCTGGGTCTGCTATGCCAGCCCCGCCCCTGGGACCCTCCAAGATGGCAACTGAAACTGGGCATGGTGGCGTGCACCTGTAATCCCAGCTCTTGGGAGGCTATAAACAGGCGGATCACTACAAGTCTGATCTAGTAGTGAGACCCTGAATACCCTGTAGGCCCTTCCCTAGAATACCAAAAAATAAAAAAGAAAGAAGAAGAAAGTAAGTACCTTGGTCTTGTATCACACAATCTGTGGTGACCAGAGGAGGCACCTGGCCTCTAGTGTTGGTGGCATAAACTTGTCCCCCTCTCGTAGCTCTGTCATTCTCGATCACCTGGATCTGGTAAAAGATACATCAAGAGCAAGTGAAAGTAAGTTCAGGTTCTGCCTATACTGAAGGGAGTGCACTGGCCCACTCTCTTCCCTGTCCCGTCCTTCTCCCAGTCTCCACTCATTCACAGGCACAGGCATTTCCTCAGTCCCTTCAGAACAAGTTACTGAGAACTCACAACATTTTCAGTTCCATCATTGGTTACAATTTTAGGTCAGTAGTTTCCAAATTGTATTCTATAACATTCTGAACTCCCACCGTGACCCTTCAGAGAGCATTATTATTTATTTTTTTCTATTTACTTGTTGGAACCAAGGCAAGCATGTAAAATATTCTGGAAAGAAAAGAAATTAAAACAACTTTTTGAAAGGAAATATTTTACAACCAAAATTCTAAAAAGCTAAACATCATTAAACTCAGAAGAAATTACTTCAAAATATGACATAAATCTCAAGTTTTCTCTTCCAAACTACTCTTTATCTTCAATCTTCCCATTTAAATTTCCTCCATGACATGTAAGGAACATGTGAGAAATAAGACAAATAGTATAAAGTGTCGCAGTATGGTTTTTGTCCATTGTATAAAAATTAACAGAAGCAAAAGTCCCTGACATCATCATCTGCCTTGGAAACACATCTCCACTACAAATACTTGTTGATAAAACTTGTTTTTAAATCCTGTTTTTCTATCTTAACAGGCTAGGAATGAAATGACTGTAGTATGAAATTAAGAAGAAAATAAGAAAGAATCCTATTATCCTCTCTATTTTCCTCCCTCCCTTCACATCTTCCTTCACAGGAGAAAAGAGACAAGGAGGGGAAAAAGTACAAGAGGATAAGAAAAGTGGTCTTTTTGTTGTGGTTGCTGTCTTTTTCTTTTTTTGCTTTTTTGAGGAATAAGAGGTGTGTCCCTTTTAAAGTAAAAACCCCTTAAGGATACACACATTCTTAGTATCCCTAAAGAAACCATTAACAATATAAAAGCTGTCACTCACTACACACTACAAATGTTACCTTCTCTACATTTCCTCTCATCTCTCCAAGCCACATGGCTTCAACATCATTAGTTTCTCAGAATGTGGGTAATAGATTTAGTCTGCATTTAAATCTACTTATATCTACTTATATCTACTTCTAAATTTCACTGAACTTAAACAGTTAGTATATTAAGAATACAAAATGCCTTCTAAATATCAACGACAGTAACAACAACAACAACAACAAAACCCACGGAGGAGACTCAAAGTGATCACAGGCAGAGATACAAAGTAAACAGGCAACTTGAAGTATGATGATCACCTTCTATATTCTGATCACAAGATTAGTGGGTTCGTTCAAACAGAAGGCAGCTTTCATATTATCGAAATTACATTTTAATGAAGTCATCTTAAATATGAGGTCACTATACAATAGTCATATGTTTAATATATCAAACCAATATATTGAATAGTCTTCGACAGATTATACTTCCAAAAGTTTCCTTGCAACTATCAAATTGCAATTTACAAAGTCTTATCACCAAACAAAAAATATTATAAGTGGTAATTTATTTCTAAATTAACCTATATCTTGGTTGTAACACTATAAAGAGAA